AAAAAAGAAAAGCGGGCCGGTCCGATTTCAGCCTGACCCGCACCCTTACTCCAAAAAAAAAACAGAGAGAGAGAGGCCCGCCCGATGATAAAAAAAAGAAGAGAAAAAGGGCAATAAAAAAAAAGTAAAAAGGAAAAAATAAGAAAAAAAAGGATAGGTAAAAAAAAAAAGGGTAAAAGTGGTGGGTTAATATTTTAGGTATAGGATTTTTTATTATTATTACTTTTATTGCTCTTTTTTTTTTTTTTACTGTTTATATAGGATGATTTTTTTTATTTTATTTTTTTTAGCTTCGTTTATTTTTATTTCATGTCTTTTTTAGGTATTAATTTAGATTCATTATTTTAATTTTATTTATTTATTTTTCTTTAACATGTATTACTAGAAAAAAAATCTTGACGAAGTCTCCTATCCGATAGGGACTCGCCGTCATAAAAAAAATACCTAAAAATTTTGGGGAAGTCTCTTACATGGTAGGGATTGATGTCATCAAAAAAATAAAAAATAAATAAATAATAAAAAATAAATAGATAAATAAATTCAATGAAGTTTCCTATCTAATAGGGACCGACGTCGCCAAATTCAAAATCTTCGACGAAGCCTCCTATTTGATAGGGGCGACGTCTCCAAAAATCACCTTTTAATTAAGACGTCCTTCGATATGCCGGTTGTGTCAAGGCTTTTAGTGGATCCGATGTTTGAATCGACGTGTCACCCAACGAAGGGGATCGACGATCGTTTCAATATGATGCCACGCCCAAACTAAAAATTCACTTAGTCTCTAAAAGAAAATAGGAGATTAAAATTTAGAAAATAGCTTGACATGGATTTTAGGAGACAATTCAAAACTAAACCATACATGGTACCTTTTTTCGAAAAGGGCGCTTTTAGGTGATTTAATATCTTCCTAAAAGCATAACCAACTCCTTACCTTAGGAATCTCTCGAACCAGTGCTACTTTTAGGTTCCTAGTTCCTTAAATACTAGGTGGCGACTCCAAAACTCTATAAATAATTTTGTAAATAATTAACGAATGCTCATGACCTTAATTTTCTTTGAGGAATCCCGTCCGACGTCGAGTAGCAACGAGATGACACCAAAAAATGGTTTAATTGAAAGAGATCCGTTTTCAATCCGTTTTGAAAAACCCGAAAAAATTAGCCGATCCGGGAAGAATTGAAGTCCCTCACCACCATAGATTTCCTTCCCTCAACCTTCCAAGTCGATCGGTGTGCTTAGAATCCCGAGAGGAGGTCGGATTCATCGTTGGTGAAGAAGGGAGATCCGACTGGACGTTTTGAGGCTTCGATCTCCCTCCTCCGGCGTCGTCTCCAAATGAAACCACCATCGTTGGACTCATACCGACCGGATCTACAAGGTGGGGTGGTCCACACGCTAGGAGGGTCACCGAAAGACGAACGGTCACTTGGCGGTGACCCTTGGTATTCTAGGGGTATTTTTATAATTTTCGGTAAATGTGATTTTTGGACCTTTTTTTTCTAAATTTATTTTTATGTGTTTTGTAATAATTTGTTATCTTATGCATGTCGGAAAATCTAGAGATGCTTAGGTGTGAAATTTATTTTAATATGTAATTTTTTTTTATAGGATTGAAATATTAGATCAATGAGTCTCCTATTTATTAGGGACGGACCGTGTTTTCAATATATTTAATTTCTCAAAATTTATTTTAGTTGATTTTAGTTAATTACAATTTAAGAGTTTTTTTTTAGAAAATAAGAAAATAAAAAAATAAAAAATATATATCGAAAATCTTTGACGAAGTCTCCCATCCGATAGGGATCGACGTCACCAAAAAGAATATCCAAATTTTTCAACGAAGTCTCCTATCCGATAGACACCGACGTTACCAAAAATCCCCCTTTACTTAAGATGTCTTTCGACACGCCGGTTGTGTCAAGGCTTTTTTTTTTTTAGTGGATTCGATGTTTGAACCGACATATCGCCCGACGAAGGGGATCGATGATCGTTTCAATACGATGCCACACTCAAAAATAAGAATTCAATTTTTCTTTTTTAAAAAATAGGAGTTTAAAAATCAGAAAATAATTCGACATAAGTAAAACATTTTAAGAGATAAATTCAGAACTAAACTAGAAGTGATAACTTTCTTCGAAAAATGTGTTTTTAGGTGATCGATATCTTCCTAAAAACGTAACCAACTCCTTACCATAGAATCTCTAAACCGAGTGCCTATTTTAGGTTTCTAGTTCCTTCAATACTAGGTGGGGACTTCGAACTCCGTAAATAAACTTGTAAATATTCAATTAAATTTTAGATATTTTTTAGGGTCTCGTCCGACGTCGAGTAGCGATAATGATAATCAATAAGCTATTCAACTCGGTGAAGGATTTGGTATTTCACGTAAGGACAAGGAAAGTAGAAATTCGTCATCATTGTATGAGAAAAAAGGTATTGCAATAAGAAATCAAGATGCGATCAATCAAGATTGGAGACCAAGTCATAGACACCTTTACCAAGAGCTTGAGTCCATCCAAGTTCAAAGAATTTCATAAATAACTTGAATGACAATAGAGTGAAATGGAGGTGGTGCTAAGGAGGAGAATTGAAGAAATCATGACCACCTCACTTATTCCTAGATGATATTGAGCTTTCTAGAAATGTTATGAAAGAAGAAGAAGAAGAAATGGATAAGCATAAGGTGATATTTTTCTTTAACTAGAATTGTCTAGAATTGTGGCAAATGACTTAGTGTTGTTATAAATTGGGATATGACCTAGTGGCGAGTCGTAGGACCACTAAATAATTATCTAAATTTAACAACTATAGCTGGTGGTAAGTCTAGGTCAATTCAACGGAGACTAAATTAAATTGTTGTTCTTATGTTTACTTGTATAGAAGCCACTCGAAATAAAGGAGATTGTATCAAATATTAGAAAGAAAAAAAAATAGAATTGAAATGAAGAAATTATTCAAGAGGAACAAATTTGGTCAAGAGTGAACATTTACCTTCGAATTGCAAGCTAATCATAAACGATATTTAAGAACCTTATTCATGATTTATTATTTGATCTATATTAATCTAAAAAAAATATAGATTAACTTAGTCTCCTTAATCATCAAACACAAAAAAAGAAAAAGAAAAAAAAGAGGCTATTTGAATTCTAATTATTGAACCACATAGGACAAGCTTTGTATGTGTAATCCAATAACTATATTAACAAATTAGGGAACAACCGAGAAAGATAATTAACACTAAAGCTAGTTGATTTAACCTAAACTTCTATTCTTCTTAGATTATAATGATATCGGTACTAACAATTATTAAATCTAACTCGCTTCTTGTGATAGTTCTTATAATGATTACATATTATAAACCCTAATCTAGCAATTATCAATTGATCATAATCACCTAGTATGCATCCTAAGCAATTCAGAACATCAATACTATGAAGTTAACATGGAAAAACATAAGATAACAAATCTAAATAAGCTATGAAATTAAAACAAAGGTCTCATAGCTTGTTCTTCAAAGTTCACATCACTCTTAATCTGAAAGGAAAATTAACCTTACATCTTCAAGAACAAATTACAATAAAAATTGAGTGTTTAGTAAAACCCTAGCCATGTCTCCCCTTTTTCTTCCTTAAAGGCTGCCTATTTATACCCAAAAATCTCTACAAATCAAGCCACAAAGTCAGCTACACTTTCCTATTCTATTAGGATCCTCAATCCGAATCCACGACAGATTAGAAAATAAAATTATCAACGACTTTCCTTATTGAAAACAGCACCTTTTCACTTTTGGGCTTCATAAAAGTTGTAGATATGGATCTTAACTTTTTAATAAACTTGGCCTTACATTAATTAGATGTCTATAACTTCAGATATGAATTTAATAATGGAGCTGGTTCAGGAATCATCAGGTCAGAATCTTGCTCTGTTTTCTCAGCCATTTTCGAGCCATATAACGTCCGAACTGGGTTTGTACCCCTCTTGACAATTGCAAGTCTATGTCTTAGATTGCCGATTAGCTAAGACTCGCACAAAATGGAGTTCTAGAACTTCAGATATGTTAGAATGTCTGAAACTGTGTCAAACTGCCTCTATTCACCTTCCATGTTCAAAAACCTGTCCAAATCACAAAACAATACATAAGCAACTCTGCTAGGCATTTAATCCTCATAAAAGACTAAATATAGGGTGAATTAAATACAGAAATATGGTGCTTGTCATGACCATTGTAGTAATTGAGAGGGTCTCGAAAATTAAGCGTGTCTAAGTATTGTGGGTGTTGAGTGAATAAGTGTTTATTCAAGAGAGTGAGATGAGCAAGTGAGTGGGTAAAAAAAATGAGGTGTATATATATAAATAAATAGATTTTCTTTTGTTCTCCACCTTTTAGTTCAACAAATTTCCATTATCATCGCACAACAATGAAGGAACTAATTGATACAATGAAATAGACCAAAATGGATGAAGGGGAGAATTTAAAGAACAATGAAATTAGATAGAGAGGAGAATTTGAGTAAAAATGAATTGTGAAGGAACTAATTGATACAAACAAAACTTTTAGACTAAAATTGAGGCACTCATTATCGTGGCTAGCTTTGGGGAGGGGGGTATTTTTCAATTTCTATTGCTCGTTTTTATTTTGTTGGAATTTTTATTTTGTCTGACTTTTGGATGTTATACATTAAAATGGACATAATTCTTTAGAAAATTTAATCTCAATCCCAAATTTTCAAGAAAAATTTGCAATAATTATAATTAAATACCCATTTGGCAGGAAAATCGCTGTTATATATTGAATTAGACCAGTGGCATGAGAAAAAACATTTTTATAACGTTAGTTAGCAACTGTCATTGGAGTAAAATCGTTTTTTAAACATTAGTCAATATATATTTTCTTGGAGTATTATACAGGGAATTCCTTATCTGTTTGTCATTGCAGTCACCATTTTGTTTTTGCCTATAAATAAAATTGGTGTTGAAGAAGAAAGAGAACAACTTAAAACATGGGGACTTGGAGGTTCAATAGCATTTGTTTCTTGGTGTTCTGTGCAAGTCTTCTCATCCCGGCAGGCAGCCACAGTTACTCTGATGTTGCCTTGTTTATCTTTGGAGATTCGTTGTATGATGTTGGGAACAATAATTATCTCAAGGATGCTCTTGGCCGGGTAAATATGATGCCATATGGAGAGACTTTTTTTAAGCATCCTACAGGAAGGGCTTCTGATGGTCGATTAATTCCAGATTTTATTGGTAAGGACAATATTTTGTGATGTTCTGTAAGGTTTCTTTTCTTATTTTACTATTTTCTTCTTTGTTTTCTTTTATGAAATAAACTAATAGATAGATCTCGCCTTGCAGGAGCAGTTTTGATAATGCAAACGTTCAATTATTTATGATTACAATTAGAATGTTAAATATTAAGTTAATCATATTTAAAATACTAAATTATGCATATATTTTTATGACCTAAATGTTAGGTTTTCATTTTTTTTTTTTTTCACAAGCTAATTATGGATTGGCTTGTAATTTTGCTGCAGCTGAGTTTGCAAAGCTGCCATTAATTCCACCATATTTACAACCCGGTGGCAACCATCAGTTCCAAAATGGAGTGAACTTTGCATCAGGAGGAGCTGGTGCTCTTGTTGAAACTAATCAAGGACAGGTATGTTACGATTATGTTCAATAAGCTAAATAATAATTACTTATTGGAGTAGGTTATGCTTATTGTGCTCTTAATTTGTTTGATTACTTATGCTGCTCTTGTTTTTATTTATTTATTTTTTTTCTTTTTTGGTTCCTTCAAAGGTGATAGACCTTAAAACTCAACTGAAGGATTTCAAGAATATGGCGAAGCAGCTAAGACAAAAACTAGGAGCTTCAGAAGTTAAAACATTGTTATCCACAGCTGTTTACATGTTCAGCATTGGTAGTAATGACTACTTTGTACCTTTCGCCACAAACTCCACTGTGCTTCAATCGTACTCTAGAAAAGAGTATGTCAAGATGGTTATTGGCAATATAACAACAGTGATCCAAGTAATTAACATGCCAAAAACTCATTTATTTCATATTTCTCTCAAAGTTCTTCGAACTAAGATTGCATCAATTTTGGTGTCTCAGGAAATTTATAAGACTGGAGGAAGGAAATTTGGACTATCAAACTTGGCTGCGTTAGGTTGTGTACCGGCCATGAGAGCTCTAAAATTGGCCACCACAGGTGGCTCCGGTTGCATGGATGAAGCTACGGTGCTTGCAAAACTACACAATAGAGCAATCCCTAAAGCTTTCAAGGAGCTTGAGAACCAACTAAAAGGATTTACATATTCAATTTTTGATTCATACAAAGTAGCAAATGAAATATTCAATAACCCTTCAAAATATGGTAAATCCTCTACTTGATATCTAGAAAGGTTTCCGATTTTTTCTTATCTGAACTATTTTATTCCAATTTCACATTTTTTTTTTTTTCATTTAAATTGTGTAAAGGTTTCAAAGAGGTGAAAATGGCATGTTGTGGCAGTGGTCCTTACAGAGGCTCCTTTACTTGTGGCCTGAAAGGATACGAATTGTGTGATGATGTTAGCGAATATCTGTTCTTCGATGCAGTTCATCCAACCGAGAAGGCCAACCATCAAATCGCAGAGCTTATGTGGAATGGAAGTACAAAAATCATCAAACCTTACAACCTTAAATCACTGTTTGAGAAATAGCTTAAAATTTGTCCAGAGTGATCCATTTCTTGTATCAGACAGTTATATAATAAATCTTTCAACAAATATTCGATTGATTATAACTGATGTTATTTCTTCTCTGTTCTCTTATTTTACGAGCAATCTAAACTAACTGAAACTGACAAGGGTAAAGGCCTTCTATTATTCTACCAATTTAGAAGAAAGAAAACTTACCATTATGTAACCTATTATTTTATATCATTTTTGTGTCAGTCATTCAAGATTACCTCTGTATTAATAATTTGTTGAATAACTCCTTGTATTTGTAAAATTGATTTAATTGAATTCAATAATTAACTGTCATCCAACTAATTGTACAAATATACAAGATAGGAATTAGTTTTATATATGATGAAAATTGAACCCAATAATATTACATAATCTAAGTAGCATATGAGCAGTTTCATATATATATATATGACATACAAAACATATGAATAATGTCACATTTAGTAGGTAAATACATAGACCAAAGAATAGGTAAGCTATATTATTATTATTATTACTACTACTACTACTATTATTAATGTTACATTCTTAATTCAAAAATTTAAAAGGATTCAATAATGTTTATATATATTAATTCACTAACACTCTTTTCCTTTCAAATTTTCTCTCTATCATCCCTCTTATAATTAGGAGCTAAAATCATTGCATATCTAGACTTTAAGTCATTTGAAATTAAGTTTATGAATTTTTTTATTAGTCTTGGAGATTCTTGAACTTTTAATTTTTTAAGATTTAGTTCATCTAATAATTTTTAGTTATCATCTTCTCTTTTTAAAAAATTCAATTCTGAAATGACTATATTTGTTCATTTTTGAAAAATTAAAAATATAAAAAATTAGAAAATAACTCCGAAATGATCATAAATTTTTTTGAGGAGCCTCACATAAATTTCATTAAATGAACTACATCATGAAACTATTTATGAGATTGTTATTTTTTTTAGATAAGTGAAAAAAAACTAAAAATTGAATTAAATCTGAAAAAATTAAAAATTCAAGGATCTCCAAAACTAATAAATAAGTTTAGAAACTTATCCTCAAATAACTTAAATTTTACGAGTGGTGAGACACTTTTCACTGTTTGTTGGGGCGTCCCAAATCTGTTAGTTTGACCAATTCACAAAAAATAAATAAACAAATAAATAAAATAATAAATAAATAAATAAAAATTCATATTCCATCATCCAACAAACCGACCAACCTCTCCCAACAATTTTTAATTCGGATAAATTTTAATCTGTCTCAAATTTGGTTTATATCAATTAGTTGCCTCAAATTTCATTATAGCTTCAACTTCTGCCCTTCAATAAGCTCAGTCTATTTCAATCTATTAGTAAAAGAAAATTTGTATAAATTTTTAATTTCATCCTTGAAATTTGTAAATTACATATCTCAATATCACCTATAAAGTATTAAAAAAAAACAAATTTAAAGATTAATAAAAAACAAAAAAAAAATATTAAAAAAATTATTTTTTTCAATAAAACAAATATGAAATCCTTGTTCAAGGACAAGACAAATTGAATTTCATTTAAGATTTATTTTGTGGAGGTTTGAATTTCATTAATCATATTAAATGAATGTATACTTTGAATGAAGAAAGAAAGATGATATTATGGGAGTACAAGCTACTGTAGAGCTACCATATAAAGTACTTTGCATATTGTATTTTGTATATGCAATTAGTTATGTTAGTTAAGAAGTTATAGCAGGCGTTTTCAGTTAGTAAATTTCTTAGTCTAGCTGACAACACACATGCCTCATGTATATAAAAGAGCTGTTGGCTACACTGTAGAGGTGCAAGTTGAATTTCAATTAAAAATATATTCTGTTAGATGATGTGATGGTAATAGAATCAAGAGAGAGGAATGAGAATGATGAATGTTTTAGTATAAAAATTGAAAGAGAATTGGACTCATTTAGATTATATTTTTATTTTTAACAATAATATTGACTAAAAAAACATGATATTGTTGATGAGTGGGAATTAAATATATGATTTTAGGATTTCTTAAGAAAAATGAGGTTTTTACAAACTGTAAGAATGAAATTAAAATTTATACATAATTTCTGTTATCATCACATCAGGAAATAGACCAAAATGGATGAAGAGGAGAATTTAAAGAACAATGAATTTGCAATAATTATAAATACCCATTTGGCAAGAAAGTCACTGTTATTGAATTAGACCAGTGGCATGAGGAAAACCATTTCTAAAACATTATTCAGTATTTTTCATTGGGGTAAAATCATTTTATAAACATTAGTCAATGTATATTTTTCAATGGAGTATTATATACGGAATTCCTTATCTGTTTGCTATGTCTATTAGGTGATGTCAAAACCTAGTTTGATGAGACGCAAGATTAAGGAAATAAAAAACAATAAATTAAGGTTCTTGAGAAATTGTGAGCTGCATGGTGTAGTTACCATTTTGTTTTTGCCTATAAATAAAATTGGTGTTGAAGAAGAAAGGGAACAACTTAAAACATGGGAACTTGGAGGTTTAATAGCATTTGTTTCTTGGTGTTCTGTGCAAGTTTTCTCATCCCGACAGGCAGCCATAGTTACCCTGATGTTGCCTTGTTTGTCTTTGGAGATTCCTTGTATGATGTTGGGAATAATAACTATCTCAAGAATGTTTCTGGTCGAACAAATATGGTGCCATATGGAGAGACTTTTTTAAGCATCCTACAGGAAGGGCTTCTGATGGTCGATTAATTCCAGATTTTATTGGTAAGGACAATCTTTTGCAATGCTCTTTAAGGTTCCGTTTCTTCCTTTATTATCTTGTTCTTCCTTTTCTTGTATGAAATAAATTAATAAATGACTCCCGTGCTACAGGAGCAACTTCGATAATATGAACGTTGAATTATTTATTAGCATAATTAGAATGTTAAATTATACTTAAAATACTAAATTGTACATATATTTTCATGACTTAAATGTTAAGGTTTCAAAAACATTTTAATTTCCACCAGCTAATTATGGATTGGTTTGCAAAATGATGAATATAAAGATAAAAATAAAAATGGTTTGCAAAATTATCCTTGTAATTTTGCTGCAGCTGAGTTTGCAAAGCTGCCATTAATTCCGCCATATTTACAACCCGGCGACTACCATCAATTCAGCAATGGAGTGAACTTTGCATCAGGAGGAGCTGGTGCTCTTGTTGAAACTCATCAAGGACGTGTATGTGGTCCTATACTCCTATAGCCTTTTCTATTTCCTTTTGTTATAGTATTATTATTATTATTCATTTGTTCCTGTTTGGTTCCTTCAAAGGTGATGGACCTTAAAACTCAACTAAGCAATTTCAAGAATATGGAGAAGCAGCTAAAGCAAAAACTAGGAGCTTCAGAAGTTAAGACATTTTTATCCACAGCTGTGTACATATTCAGCATTGGAAGTAATGACTACCTTGTACCTTTCACCGAAAACTCCACTGTTCTTCAATCCTACTCTAGAGAAGAGTATGTGAAGATGGTTATCGGCAATATAACAACCGTGATCCAAGTAATTAACATGTCAAAAACTTATTTATTTCATATTTCTCTCAAATTTCATCAAATTAAGATTGTATCAATTTTGGTGTTTCAGGAAATATATAAGATTGGGGGAAGGAAATTTGGACTATTAAATTTGGCTGCGTTTGGTTGTATACCGTCCCTGAGAGCTCTTAAATTGGCCACAGCAGGAGGCTCCGGCTGCATGGATGAAGTTACGGTGCTTGCAAAACTACACAATAGAGCATTCCCTAAAGCTGTCATGGAGCTTGAGAGTCAACTAAAAGGATTTACGTATTCAATTTTCGATTTCTACACAGCAGTAAATGAAAGATTGAATAACCCTTCAAAATATGGTAAATCCTCTACTTGATAACTAAAAGGGTTTCCTAATTTTTCTCATCTGAGCTATTATAACTATTTTATCCCAATTTTACATTTTTTTTTCATTTAAATTGTGTAAAGGTTTCAAAGAGGTGAAAATGGCATGTTGTGGCAGTGGTCCATACAGAGCCTCTGGTTGCGGCCTGAAAGGATACCTATTGTGTGACGATGTTAGCGAATATCTCTTCTTTGATGCAGTTCATCCAACCGAGAAGGCTAACTATCAATTCGCAGAGCTAATGTGGAATGGAAGTACTAAAATCATCAAACCTTACAACCTTAAATCACTGTTTGAGAAATAGCTCAAAGTTTGTTCAAAGTGATCCATTTCTTGTATCAGACAGTTAATAAATCTTTCAACGAATTTTCGATTGAACAACCTATCTACCTATTTGTGTTGCTGATTAATTTGTTTTAAGATTACGACTGATGTTATTTCTTCTTCTCTGTTCTCTTATTTTACTTGGAATCTAAACTGAATGCTGCTGATAAGGCTAAAGGCCTGCTTCTGCGGTGTGTGGAGTATTATACACAACCTGATCCTCCCCTGGTATAATTAAATTCGTTTACCTGCTTGCATATATATATATATATATATATATATATATATAACCAGTTTATGGTATGGAAACAGCTAATTGAGAATTTGCTTCTAATGTAATTCCATCATCGAAGATGCAATGCTGTACATTTTCAGAAGTAATTAAATATTTTAATCAAGGCCTGAAAATTCAAATCATGGTTCATATAGATCAATATTGATATTGAAAATTCAAATTCCAAACTCAATATACAAGGTTTAATCATTGCTAACAAAATATACAATGTTTAACTTGTCTCTATAAAGCCGAATAACGATAATAGAATATTTTGAAACTATTATGCAACATCTATTATCTTATGTAACTTTTATTAATTAAATCTATGATTCCTCTTGGATCAAATAACTGAGTTTGACAATTAGCTTGTATTATAAATACATACATCAGACTAAATTTGTGATTTTAAATCACAACCTCCTCCCCTAGAATAATTAAATTCGTTTAGTTGCTTGTTAATATATATATATATATATATAATCAATTTATGGTCTGAAAACAGGTGATTGAGAACTTGACTTGTAATGTAATTACATCATCGAAGAGGTCATGTTGTAAATTTTCAACAGTAATTAAATATTTATTCGTGCCCCCCATTACATAATCAAGTTATGGTTCATAGACCAATCTTGATCTAGAAAATTCAAATTCCAAAATCAATATACAATGTTTAATCATTCCTAACAAAATATTGGGTTAGTGATAACAAACTCTGTGGTTAAGGTCAATACCCAGAATTGAAATATTAAAAATTGGAAATCGGCATGTTCTCATCAGATTGCTGAATTTCGAAGACAACTGGAATGAGATACTAAAGATATTGCCTCGTAACAATAACATTTTTTTATATTCTTACATGCCAATTGAGAATTAATTACTTTTTAAATTTCCTTTGTATTAACTATTTATTCAATATTAACTCTTTGTTCAATAACTCTTTGTAAGATAAATGATATTTAAGAGTGATTATTAGATTTGGATTTTAATAAATTCAGTTCGATTTTTGACCAATTGAATCTTTAAAAATTAAAATTAAATCAAATAATAGTTCAATTTTTGGGTTCTAAAGGAAAAGACCTGAATCTTTAAAAATTAAAACCAAATCAAATAATAATTCAGTTTTTAGTTCTAAAAATTTGATTGTTGTTTTTCTGTTATAACTATAACCATTCTTTGTGAAGAAGAATATGACTAAATTAAATTACAAGAATATTCAAAAAAAAAAAAAAAAAGCGCAATTCAAATCCCAATACAAATGCCACTTGATAAGTAAAAGCCTATTTATAAATAAATCCACCTTTTACTTGAATTTCCATGTGGTAAAAATAAATGGTAAAGTCTACCTATAAATCTTTCCAATGCTATATTTTTCATGTGAAATATCTTTCCAGATAAAAACCATTTTAATCTTGTCTTGTATCCATACTGAGGACATCATCATTATTTTTTCAATCTTTTTAAGTGGCTGAATAATAAATACAATCAATTCAGATGCTAAAATCTCATCACTTATCATTCATATGTTTCTAGATTAAGGTTGAGAGTCGGTGGATTTCTATATTTCTAAACACAAAAACGGGGTAGTATTCGGTGTTCTGTCGTAGTTGTTGACTCGATGTTAGTCAATTCTCTGTGAAAATACAGGTGGAACTTGATTCTTGCCTCATTTCATGGGCCTGGCTGAGACTTTGATTTTGTTAAATTTTGAATGGGTTCAGCCCAAAGTCCAATAGATTTACTAGCATATTTTTTTATTTTATCTTAAAGTCCAATGGATTTATTGAGTCCAAAGAATTGGTTTAAAAATAAGTTTGACACCGGCCAGTGATAGGCAATGTTCTTAAGCAAAACATTATTCCCGGTAATCCCAACCATTACGGTTAAAGTCAACCCATTTAGCGTGGTTATAATTAAGTAGAGACATGACCATTGTAGTTGGTTTGTCTAGTAATCGGGAGAGTCTTTAGAAAATTAAATGTCTGTAAGTATTGTGGATATTGAATGAATAAGTGTGTATTCGTCAAAGTGAAGTGCGCAAGTTTAATTTTCAGAAATACTATATTAGAATACTTTTCCTTTAATGTTAGAATATCTTTCTTAATATTAGAATATTTTTCTTTATTGCCACCTTAATGAAAGTGGAGAAAACAATTTTATCAATGCACTCAAATCCAAAAATAAAATAGAATTTATGGAATGATCGATACCAAAATCCGATGTTAATTCTAGATATTTTCAAGCTTGGATTCAGTACAATGCACTTTTTAAATCATGACTCTTTAAATCAATTTCTAAAAAGCTACAATCAGGATCAACTCATGCCAACACTACATATGAAATTTGGAACGATTTTGAAGAGCGATTTACTTACGGAATTGCATGCCAATTATATGAATTGAAGTGCACAATCGTCTTGCTACAACAAGAAAAGACAGCCCTTTTCACGTATTATGAAAAACTAAAGAATGAGTGGAGTGAGTTATAGAATCTTCAACCCATTTCTATTTGTACATGTGGAGTTGGAAGAAAAATGGAGAAGATGTGTGAGGAAGAAAAAAGTTTTGACTTTTTAATGAGCCTAGATGATGTTTACGGGATTGTTCGATCCCAAATCTCAAGTATTGAGCCCCTACCAGAGTTTGGAAAAGCTTATGTTGTGGCTGCTCAAGATAAAAAAAACAAAGAAACATTTCTGCAGCTCGTGCTCCCATCCTTGAGGCCAAGACTTACTAGCAAAATCACAGTCAACCCATGGACAAAGACTAGAGCAGCGAATGGCATCCTCCATTGTAGCCACTGTAACAGAACAAATCAGACACGAGAAACCTGGTACGCAACTCAATGGCTATCCACCTGGCTGGACAAAGCCACGGCCACGAGGAGAGCACCACCATCATACAAGGCAGACGACACTCTTCACAATAGGGACATCAGATGCAGCAGCAGTCTATTTTATGAGGACATAATTAATATAACAGAGGTAGCAAATACTTTTGATCCATTCACAATGGGCCCAATCCAGTCTTTTGTCTAGGCCTAGTCTCCTCTCTGGGCGTATTCTGCATATTCTGTCAGCTTGGTCCAATCTAGTCCGCTGAACGCTTAACTCGTGGCAGCATCCCAATCCATGACAGGAGCCCATTCTATCGGCCTCTGCACTTGACAAAATCTCAAGTCCAGCAGTTGCTAGATCTGTTGGGCCCTCATCCAACTTCCTCAGAAGGCCCATCTGTAAATATGACCTCCCAAAATTTGTTTGGTAAGCCGAAATCATAAATTATTGATATTAGGGCTCCAGATCATATTGCTTACAATACTGATTCTATGATTGATATCCACCTGAATTTAGCTATTTTTCTGATTCAAATTCCTAATTGTGAATGCATCCCAATTAAAGCCTTGGGCCGAGTAAGACTTGGCAATAATTTAAGCCTAGAAGAAGGCTTTCGGTTTCAAAAATTTTAGTGTTATTTTTCGATTTTAACTATAAGAACCGAATTACGGAGCAGTTTATGACTAAATTAAATTGGAAGAATATTGAATGTGAAACTTTATGGCCTCCTTAAAAAAGCCCAATACAAAGCCCATTTTAAATGCCGCTTGATAAGTAAAAGCCTATGTACAAATCTATCTACCTTTACTTGAATTTTGATGTAGATATTTGGATGGTAAAAGCATATATATATATATATATATATATATATATATATGTATCTTTGCAACTCTATTTTTCTAATGAGACCCCTTCCGATATGAAGATCTTTTTAAAGTTGCGTTGCGTCCAATCCCACATTGCACATCGATTTAATTTGACATTGAAGGGTGGGATTATATATATATATATATATATAACTAAACTAAAATCATCGTTTAATATTCATAACATTATTTGAAACACAATTCACCCAGACTTAGATGCATTATTGTTTTTACTATGTAGTGATATTTTTATAGTTTTTCAAATATTTTAAAGACATTTATTATGAAAATTTTGATGATATTACATTCTCTTTTTTAAATATCGTTTTTCAATCCATTATTTTTTTAGTTTTATTTTGGTCCATCTTTTTTTGTTTCATTTTGGTCTTTGCTTTTTTTTTCTCTAATTTTTTTGATTAAAAATTTTAAGTTAAAAAGATGTTTAGAAAAAAAATTACAAAATAATTTTTTAACTAAAAATGTGGATAAAAATAAATAAAAAATATTTTTAAATAAAAAATTTATGAAAATATAAAACATAAGTAGTCAAATACAAAATTTTGATTAAAAAATTATAAAATTGAATGAATTTTTGTTTCATTTTGATTTAATATATTTATATAGATACATAATATAACATAAGATATCAAAATGAAATAATTTTTAAAAAATAATTTTATGTATTTTGTCAAACTCGTAGTGTTTTCGATGGATACTGATTTTAAAATTTCAAAAACTGAATCAAATAAAAAAATGAATTAAATTTAGTTTGGTTTCGAAAAACTATATTAAAAAAAATTGAATCAAAATTTTCATTTTGTTTTTTTTTTCTTTTCAGTTTTGATCGAATACTGCTCACCTATAATAAATTTATATGATCAGCATAGCATATGATTAGTTTCACTTGCATTTCTTCTTCTTCTTCTTCTTATTGTTGTTATTATTATTATTAATGCTACATTCTAATTTTCTATCATGAAGTTTTTTTTCCTATCAAGTAACTATTTTAATCTAAAAATGTAAGCTATAATGTGATCATCAAAAAATGTTTATATATATATATATATATATATATATACTCTTTTCCTTTCAGTTTTTATACTTATCATCCCTCTAATAATTAGGAGCCAAAATCATCACATGCTCCTCTACTATGTGAATTTGATCAAATTAATCCCAATAAATTTGGTCAAATCTTGCCTTACTTTCTGATATGGTCTACCTAAATCGCTCTATCCATTAATTATGTTAGGGTGTCCCAAATTCGTTAGTTGACCCACTCATTGATTGTGATCAAGCCATGGGTCAGCCTGGCAGATTTAATGGATGGAAGGGTTTATGTGGACCAAAAACTCCATAAGTCTTCATAAAAAGCAGAGAAGAAAAATGTGTGGTGATAAGTGCTCATCAACTGGTTCATGTTTGAAAGTTTTTGGGTTTTTCAATTTCTCAATAATATTACGTTTTAGTCCTTATGATGATTTTTTTCACAATTAGATCCCTAAATGATAAATCTTAATCATGTAATGATTCATTACAGAGTAGTCTTTATTTATTAATGTAATGTTTGTAACGCAATGATGCATCACAATTATTAGCATGAATTACATTATAATTTAAAAATTACATAACTAAATATGATAATACAAAGAGCGATTACATTACATCTAACTAAATATGCTATAAGATTAAATTAGTAGCTATAATTCATGAATTGCGAGTGCATATTGTCTTGAATAACGATTTTTGTGTCTAAACTCTATCGTACATAATCTTTATTATTATTATTATTATTATTAGACACATGTATCCAATTAAATATATTGTAAAATTATATCAGTATATGTAATTCTAGAATTGTGTGTGCATGTTGTTTGGAGCCTTAATTTGTGTGTCTAAACTCTATCATTCATAATCTTTGTTATTGTTGTTATTGTTTTTTTCTTTTGAATTTGGATACATGTATTGCAGTTACTAGTATTTTAAAGCAGGGATTAAAATGTTAAAACTATGAAGATTTGAGCGAGAATTTTAAACATTTAACCGTTAGAACTACTTTGTGAATTGGTATATAGGTTGGGGACTAATATATATTTTTCACCCTGACACATCTCCTTAATTATCTGCTTGCCCCGCACTCCAATCAATTGATGATGACATATCCTTGATATTTAATTTTCAGCCTTGCTGCACCCTCTATTTTAGGAGTAAGTTGTAAATTACTTTTTTTTTAAAAAAATATTTATTTAATCTTTACATTTTAATTTTGTTGACAACTTAGTTATTTCATCAGTTTTTTTTTAATGGATGAATTTGTTTCCAAATCACATTTTATTTAATTTTTGACCGAGAAAAGAGAAAAAATATAGGTAAAAAAGATAAATAAAACATTAAAAAAACAATTTTTTTTTTAAAAAAACTTTAATCTTATGAAAGCCAACCAAAAAAAAATAATAATTTATTGATGAAATTAAAACATAAAAAACTAAATTATTAATTTTGAAAATAAAGGGACTATTTGATTCATTGCTTTAAACAGAAGGGACTAATTTATAATTTACTCTCTAAGTTAACTTCATTTCCAAAACTCCGAAAAACCTGTTTCCTTGTTACTTTTCAAAACTTCCAGTTATTTACCCAAAAAAAATGAATTTTCCAGTTTACGCACTTCTACCTGTGGTGAGTATTTATTGCTTCAGTATGTGTATAGTTCTTCCATTTTGGTTTTGCTGAAGAAGAAAGAGAACAAATTGAAACATGGGGAATTGCAGCCTTAATAGCATTTGTTTCTTGGTGTTCTGTACAAGTCTTCTCATCCTGACAAGCAGCCACAGTTACCCTGATGTTGTTGCCTTGTTTGTCTTTGGAGATTCCTTGTATGATGTTGGGAATAATAATTACCTCAAGAATGCTACTGTTCGGCTAAATATAACGCCATATGGAGAGACTTTTTTCAAGCATCCTACAGGAAGGGCTTCTGATGGTCGATTAATTCCAGATTTTATTGGTAAGGCCAATTTTTTGCAATGTTCTTCAACGTGTCTTTTTGGTTCTTTACTATTTTGTTTTGTTTTTGTTTTTGTCTGTTTTTTTTTTTTTTTTTTTTTTTCATTTCACATTAGTTTGACTTGTAAAAAAAATACAAGTTTGCAAAGGATGAATATAAATTTACAAATCAAAATGGTTTAGCAAAATGATCTTTGTAATTTTGCGGCAGCTGAGTTTGCAAAGCTGCCATTAATTCCGCCATATTTACAAGCCGGCGGCAACCATCAATTCAGAAATGGAGTGAACTTTGCATCAGGAGGAGCTGGTGCTCTTGTTGAAACTAATCAAGGACTGGTATGTGGTCCTATTGCCTTTTTTATTTCCTTTTTTGTGCTCTTAATTAGTTTGATTACTTATACTACTTTTTTCACTTTTTTTTTTTTCCTGTTTGATTCCTCCGAAGGTGATGGACCTTAAAACTCAACTAAGCAATTTCAAGAATCTGGAGAAGCAGCTAAGGCAAAAACTAGGAGCTTCAGAAGTTAAGACATTGTTATCTACAGCTGTTTACATGTTCAGCATTGGAACTAATGACTACCTGTCACCTATCTTCACAAACTCAACTGTTCTTCAATCCTATTCTAGAGAAGAGAGAGTAAAGATGGTTATCGGCAACATAACAACCGTGATCCAAGTAATTAACATGTTAACAACAATTTTATTTCATACTTCTCTCAAAGTTCATCCAAGTAAGATTGTATCAACTTCGGTGTCTCAGGAAGTATATAAGATTGGGGGAAGGAAATTTGGAATATCAAATTTGATTGCGTTAGGCTGTGTACCGGTCATGAGAGCTCTAAAATTGGCCACCGCAGGTGGCTCCGGCTGCTTGGATGAAGCTACGGTGCTTGCAAAACTACACAATAAAGGAATCCCTAAAGCTTTCAAGGAGCTTGAGAGTCAACTAAAAGGATTTACATATTCAATTTTTGATGCCTACAAAGCAGCAAATGAAAGATTGAATAACCCTTCAAAATATGGTAAATCCTCTACTTGATAACTAAAAGGGTTTCCTAATTTTTCTTATCTGAGCTATTATAACTATTTTATCCCAATTTTACAATTTTCATTTAAATTGTGTAAAGGTTTCAAAGAGGTGAAAATGGCATGTTGTGGCAGTGGTCCATATAGAGGCTCCTTTACTTGTGGCAGAAAAGGATACCAATTGTGTGATGATGTTAGCCAATATATCTTCTTTGATGCAATTCATCCAACCGAGAAGGCCAACTACCAATACGCAAATCTAAAGTGGAATGGAAGTACTAAAATCATCAAACCTCACAACCTTAAATCACTGTTTGAGAAATAGCTCAAAAGTTTGTCCATTTCTTGTATCAGACAGACTCTAACTATATATATATATATATATATATATATATGTTCTCTTATTTTTCTTGTAATCTAAACTGAATGCTGCTGATAAGGCTAAAGGTTATCAATGAATATAGATAAGGAAAAATCTCTAAGCACTATATTAATTATCTAGATAGTTGAATTAAGAACTTAAACTATCGAAAAAAGCAATTAACTATCAAACAAGTTAAAATTACAACCAAGAGAAGGCAGGAGTCCAAACATATGACAATTAAGCATCAAAATTGATGCACTCTATGGTGGACTCCATACTAATATATGATCTAGCAGAAAACATCCATATCTAGAAACTTGCATTTGCTTGAGCTATGACTGGTTTCCTTCTCCTTATAATAAGTATTCAGTGCCAAAAGAGAAGGCCTGAATTGGGTAGTGAGACTGCCTCTGGAGTGGAAGAAATCCTGCAGGTAGGTCTTCGATCTTGTCTCCTTTTTCTTATATTTGTTCTTCTTAATCTTCGAATCCCAACCAAATCTGATTTTCCAATTGTTAAAACTTTGCGTTTCAGAGGCATATCCAAACTCCTCCACAAACCGCTGCTTCCATAAATCATCATTCGAACACAAAGTCTGCATCTTCGAACTAACGCATGCCATTCTTGCAATACAGTTGCAGCAATCAACTCCAAAATCTTGGGCTTTAAATCTGATGACAGGCGCATAAAGCAAGGTGGAAGAGTCGCACCAGTCTTCTCCGAAAGTTGTATGTACAATGGCAAAACAAGCTGATCCTTGATAGTTTTCCATAAATCATAAACTTCATTCATCCTGTCCTCCTCAAGACAAATTCTCCGTAGCAAATCCTAAACCGGGGCAAATCTATTCTGATCCAAGGTAAGATACAACTTCGATCTACTCTCTGCCAAAGACAATCATTGATCAACCTCCGGATAATCAAAACAATTGATTCAGAAACATCTTTCTTGACTAAACTTCCTGAAGAGTGTAGGAAACCGACAGCGCGGTAGCTGATGAAGGCCACTGTTCAGGGAACTGAAGTCCATTAACACGTGTTCCAGATACCGAATCGAATCCAACAAGACCGGCCTCCAAGAAAGCTTTATGAACAGCAATAACCAAGAGGTCAAGAACACACTCTCATCACCTAATACACTCAGAAAACCCCTCCCAGACCATATCTTTAGACCAACTGTCAAGATCCATATCTATGAAATCAAACAAGAAACCGAAGCAGTAGTAGAACTTTATTAAACAAATCAACACAATCAGGTTTTTCTCTCTCAAAAAACTAAGCTACTATTTTTCTCTCTCACACACAAAATGACTTGGGTTTTTTCAATGCTTTGTTACAGACGAAAGATTAAACTGACACAGTAACACACACATAAGTACTCTTTTAAACCGACTAAGAATGTAGCTAACACTGATTCGGATTCTACTAAAATGCTAAATCCTTGTTAAATTAGGAATTGAAACATGGCAGCAAATGCAGTTGCCCACTTGCCTCTAAACTCTTTCCCCTAAAATAAAGTAAAACTTTATTAGGAAAAATATTTCATTTTTCCACGACATTTTCTTTTTGAATTAACAAAACTAAGTCTTGTTTGATATCCATTCTTGATTAATCTCCAGAAGTAGGACATGCCAACTCTTAAATGAAGTCCTCATTTAGAAAATAATATAAATTATATCTTGAGGCTTTATTTAATAGCTTAAGCTTTTAGGATGCGAAAATCCTGTTGATATGATATCAGAGTCTTGATGACCAAATGGTTACGAATTCGAATCCTACCATCCTCATTTTCTCTTCTAACTTTTGAGAGGATGTGTTAGAGAATAATATAAATATATCTTGAGCCTTACTTAATAGCTTAAGCTTTTTGATGAGATGATCCTACTTGACTCTTGAAATAATAAAATAATTATTAAATTTGTTCTTCTTTCACCTTATCCATCTTCTACAACAGAAGATTCATATTTTCTTGCACGGAAATGCTAGGTAGAACACGTTAATGTAATAGAACGACATTAGTATTTTCCTACATGGGAAAGATATAGAACCAAAACAACAAAAAAAAAAGAAGAAGAAAGAAAACCTCCCGAGACATGAAAAAAAGGAAGGAGAAATTTTATAATACACAAGAAGTAATTAGTGAGCATGTATAATAGTCATTTCATGAGATCGACTTTAAGGAGAGAGATAAACACACGAAAAAAGAGAAAAACATGAGAGAGAAAATTAAAAAAAATATGAGTAAATTTAAAAATCATTTTATCACTTTTGATGAGTCCATATGTAATTTAATGTGTTTATCTCTTCTCAAAGTGAATCGATGAAGTAATTACCGTACATGTCACCAATTACTCTTTGTGTATTATAAATTTTTTCGAGTATGGAAGTGCCTTCTCAAAACATTAATTAATTCCAAATTATTTGAACAATCATTAATTTTCCAAATTAATGAAAGCATCATGTCTCTTCCCTTTACTTTATAAATTTGTTTCTCCTCCAATATGGTTATTAACATCACCACTCCGTCGTTACAGTCTCTTCTGAACAAAGGTAAGCCCTTTTAATTTTTTCCATCTCTTCTTGCATGCACATACTGTTGATAAAAACATTGATTAATTATGTCAAAAATCACAAAACATGGACATGAAATGTTCATCCAAAAAGAAACAAAAATTGTAGAGGACGCCTAAAACTTGGAAATTTTACCCGGAGGTCTCAAACTTAAAGGAGGGATGTTACATTTAGAAACGAGAGGCTATCTCTATTGTGTAATCCAAGAACATGAGTGTCTTTCTGCTTATGAGATATATGGTATAAAAAGTAAAGAATAAAAATTAATAAAGATAATTTCGTTTGGCTTCGGTTTCTTTCTTTAACTTCGACTACTTGCTTTGTAATGTAGAGGCCGTGAGGTTTTCGGTTTGGAAAATAAAACAAAATAAAAGGTAAAAAACAAAGAAAAAAGGTTATGATTTTATAGAAGCTTAACTGATTTGACTTTGCTAAAAATGGTTCGCCAGATTTCTTGCATTTTTTCGTTTTAGATGGGAAAGAAATTCTTGCGCTGTGTCCGGTCTTGACTTGCGTAAAAATCAACAAAGTTACATGACCCTTTTTGCAGGTTTCAGTCTCTACTGGTGGAAGAAACAGAAAGTAGAGTTTCAGAATCTGGAAAGACAAGAAAATAAAATTCATGGGTTTTTCTGATCAGATTCTGTTTATTTTAATTTTAATCTCCCTTTCTACAAGGTGCCAATCATGGGGTTGGTTCTCAGCTTCTTCAAAAGAGACCCTCTCCACTGATAATTCACAAACAAATTATTTGCCCCCTCGTTCTGTGGTGGAATTTTCTATGAATGGTCGTAGTGATGAGAAGGGAATGACACTGGTGAAAAAAGCCAAAAGTAAAATGGATGGCACGAATTCTTGTTGGCAAAATTCTTACCAGCAGCTCTTTGCTGGCTGCTCGCAGGTTCTTGCCGTCGAGGACAAGCGATCGAGATTTGCTTGGCACCTTAGTGATTGCTTCCAAAAGGAATCTGGACGGCCGGCGTTTCCTTACTGTGACACAAAATCAGCGATGGTTAATTGTCTCAGAATGTTGAGTGACAATCAGCATCAGGTTTATCTTGAATTTTTACTGGAAACCAATTCTATCTGCTATCAGTTACAGCTGAGTATGATTTCTTTCATTATGTTAACCGTTCTTCTCCTGTTTGATATCTGACAGACTCTAACAAGGATTTCTAATAATGTGCTATTGCCTGCAGGGCTCATGCCTTCAACGACAAAATGGAGAGACTGGTGAATGATCTTAAAAATTCAGCAGAATACACTGAAGAACAGTTGGGATTGATAGAAGGAAAAACGCATTCCGTATTGCAGAGATCGAATCGGATTCAGGATTCATTGATGTTCAATTGATTTTCAGGTTAAAAATGTTGCTCAAACAACGAAAGATGCAAAGGATCACATGGATGTATTATCCAAGAACTCTGAAGCTGTTTATAATACATCCAAGGAAATTGCACATTCTCAATCAGAGCTGCAAGAGGCACAAGAAACAATGAACGGAAAATTTGAAGGAAGGGATGGCAGTGCTTCATGATGCTTACACCAATCTGGGTCAAGAAGTGGACAGTTTGAGCAATGAAACAGTTGAAATAGAGAAACAGATTGGCAGAGTTGGAGAAATGTTGTCTTCGAAGATGCAAACTTTACAAAATTCAGTTGATGATATCGAGAACATGGGCTGGGAAGTCCTTGGATAAGCAGAAACAACTCCTGGATGGGCAGTCGGATGGACTCAAGGATCTTCAACTCCTAACTCAATTTCAACCAGAAGCACTAGAAGAGAGCAGGTGCGCAGGAGAAAAGAAAATTACTACTATTAAATTTAAACTAAATTATAACTATGCAACTTATCGTAGATAATTACTGAGTTACAGGAGTACTCTGCAACACTTTGCTGAATACGGCCACGAACAGCAGGAAGAGCTTCTTCAGCGGCAAGAACAACTTCAGAAAGTCCATGATCACTTGGTTGAAAATTCAAATTCAATATTGGCTGCTCAGGTTAGTGTTCATTGTTCCTTATAATTGCCAGATTAGTCATTGTTGAGATAAGTAACATATGACATAGTTTTCCCATTTTTTAAGGAAGCTTTTGAATCAAAGCAAGCAAGCATGTACCTTGCTCTGGAGAAGCTGTCTGCTCTGCAAAATGCTATGTTGCTTGAATCAAGAATAATTAAAACTTTCATCCTCTACACTGCATCAATCTTCATCATCTACATGTTAACCAGTACAAAGCAAACATAAAATATAAGAGCAAGGATTTATGTTGGTAATATTTTGTCTTCTATTCCTTTATCTTACATTTCTTTTTCCGCTTTTTAAATCAAGTTTATAAGTTAAATTGATCTATAGCTAGTTTAAATTTAATTTTGGTTGACAGGTCTTGTTGTCACATTCCTGGTAGAAGTTGCAATACTTCGGCCTACAGCGAAGAGTATAGAACCACAAACAAGGCTAATTAAACTGGTCAGGATAGTCTATGGGCTTCTTTCCTCTGTTCAGTTTCTACATGCCATTTACACATACAGGTTGGTGAAAGGAAGATTTATACCAGTTGTAATTTTCTGCATCTAAAATATTTCCTCTCAAACTATGTAGGGACCATGAAATTTTGAATCATCACTTGATACTTAACCTAATGGATAAGATCAATGTCATGCAAAAAATATAAGGACTTGTCATGGGAAACAGATAGTGATGTGGACTGGTCTTCTTGGATTGAAACTGAGTTAGCAGAAGGGGATGACAGTTTTGAAGACGCTGACTTCATAGTAAGAGAAGAAGTTGGAGATAATTCAATAATAACAACTTCTATGACAAGAAACTGTGCCTTCGCTGCCGCCAGCGTTGATGAAAATTTCTCATCACTCTTAGCACATAATTTCTTGTACAAGTCATCTATTTTTTCTTTTAACTCCATTTGTATGAAGTTTGTATAATTCTATTTGTGCATGTTATATATTGCAACTCTGTTTTTCAAAATAAGAGGCTTAAAATTTATTTTCACTCCTTTACGTTGTTATGCTTCTTGAAGTTACTAGTTGCTACTAGCTCCAAATAGTTTTAAAAAATGATCTGTTACATAGTTATATAATAGTTTCGGAGCAACCTATTATCGTTATTTGGCATTATGAGTGCTCCAACATTGTTTTACAAATATAACAACAAATAATAGCTTTATTGTCATATAACATCGTTATTTGTTAGTATATAACAATGTTTTAAAAAAAAAAAAAAAACTAGAAATTATCCATTTCAGATTTAGAGTTTCAAAATTTATTTTATTAAAGAATAAGAGTCAAATACTAGAATTGCAAGCTTGATTGAATAAATATTAAATCAGTCCTTTTATTTCAAAAATCAATTATTTAGTTAGTTTTGTTCATTTTATGTTATTTTTTAATTTATATTCCTCTTTATTTGAAAAAAATATATATATTAGAAAAAGATTGATAAAAAAAACTTTTGTGGAATAAAATACATTACATTAAACATGATCAAAAGATTCAATAATTAATTTTTAAAACATTAAAAACTAATTAATTCACTTATCAAAAAATAGAGAGACTACAGTATAATTTACTTCAGGTTGTTGTAATGTGTGCAAGGGTAACAAATCCAAAGACCTCCAAATGCAACCTTAATTGAGTAAATTATAAATTAGTCCCTTTAGTTTGAAGAAATAAAGTTGTGGGTCACTTTGTTTCAAAAACTAATTATTTAGCAATTTTTTAATTTTATATATTTTTCTAATTTTTTTTCTTTTTGTTCTAAAAATAAAAAAATAAATTTGCATCATGATAAGATTGATGAAAAAAATTATGAAATAAAATATCTTACATTAAATATAGTTAACACTCGAATAAATTTATGTGAATTAAAATGTTTTATTACTTATTAGTATGTCTAATACTAAATAATAAAACATTGGGAAAGAAAGGAAAAAGACAACCAACAAAATAAAAATTTATATCAAAGTTTCTTTTGGTGCTTATCAAGTTGGAAACACTCGATATTATTAAGAAACTTATGTCATTTCCATTGACAAGGTCGACTAATGTAAGTGATTACCAACAAAATCAAGGAAGGGCAACATGAAAATAACATCCTCGATTGTTAGAACTCAAAATTAGCCAAACTAGATTCAAGGAGAAGCAAAAAGGAAAACGTCTTTTCCGAAGTAGAAATGCTTTGTTCTCTCTTTTTGTAGAGAAGATTTTTAGAGAAAAGAAAAAGAAATTTCTACATGCGTCTCACGTGAAGTCAATGTGTTATATACCGATATAGCAAACTCTTAACGGTTAGCCTAACAAATTCAATATGAACTAACTCACTAACTAGCCTTCATTTATTACATAATTGCAAAAATGCTAGCTGACTATATTCATTTCAACATCCCCCTCAAGTTAGAATTTGCAACGGATTGCAAATACCCAACTTGGCAAGAAAGAATTATAGTTGAGCTTTGCGAGAGCCTTGGTGAACGGATCCGCAACCTATGATTGGGCATGGACATGGTATGTAGAAATCATACCTTGCTGTAATTTCTCTCTAACAAGATAGCAGATCAAGTTCAATATACTTCGTTCGTTCATGATACACTCGGATTAGATACGATGTGTAAGGTCGCTTGATTATCACAAGCAAGAGACACTGAAGTTAAGTCGAAACCTACAAGTCCGTTAAGAGATCGAGAAGCCAAGTAAGCTCACAACAAACGAAGCCATGGCCCTATATTCAAACTCAACCGAAGACTTAGAAATGGTATGTTGCTTCTTAGTTTTCTAAGAGATAAGAGAACCTCCTAACAGAATGTAGTATCCAATGATGAGAGCATTTGGTCATTGGACAAGCGACCCTATCCGCATCACAAAAAGTCGCTAGCTTTAGTGTTTAACTTGTGGTGAAGAATAAACCTCGGCCCAAAGTTCCTTTAACATATTTGAGAAGCTCGTGTGCCATCTGCATGTGAGGAAGGAGAGGATGAGACATAAGTTGACTTAGAATGTGGACAAGGTATGTGAGGTCGGGCTTGGAAATAGTAAGGTATATTAAACGGCCAATCAATCGTCGATAGGATAAAGGATCGGGCAAGCTATCCCCATCGGAAGGATTGAGCCTATGGTTTTGATCCATAGGAATAGAACTCGGTTTAACACTCGAGAGACCAACGATCGGAGATAATCTCTTGAGCATATTTGCACCGAGTTAGATAAAGACCTTTAGGAGTACGAAGGACCTCGAGACCTAAAAAATATGTTAAATCACCAAGGTCTTTAATTTTGAACTTATCATCCAACATGCTCTTTAAGCTCGTTGATGATCTTTCTATTAGTCCCCGAGATTATGACATCATCCACATAAACCAAAATGGCGATAAACTAAGCCGCATCAATGCGAGTGAAGAGAGAATGATCGCATTGGGATCGAATGAAACCAACTACAAGTAAGGTGGAGGAAAATTTGGAGAACCATTGCTCGGATGCTTGTTTAAGTCCATACAAGGCCTTAACCAGCCAACAAACAAGCTTAGGGCCAACACCCGAAATAACAAAACCTGGAGGAAGCTTTATGTAGACCTCCTCATGTAATTTACCATGCAAAAAAGCATTATTAACATCCAATTGAGCAAGGACCCAGCTCTTAGCAACTGCAATGACCAAAAGCATCCGGACAATGGCCATTTTGGCCACATGAGCAAATATGTCTTGATAATTAAGACCTTCGATCCGATTGTACCCTTTGGCTACCAAGCGGGCCTTATATCGTTCCACGGAACCATCGACCTTGTATTTCACTCTATATACCCATTTGCAACCAATAGCTTGCTTACCAAGAGGCAAATCGGTGATGAACCAAGTCCGATTATCCTCCAATGCCTTAATCTCCAATGTCATTGCTTCTCTTCATTTAGGATTTTGATAGGCTTGAGAATAAGATGATGGTTCAATGTGTGTGTCAATATTAAAGCCAAAATGTTAGTATGCAAGAGGAGTGGAATGCATAGAGGTAAAATTAGACATGGGATAGAGACAATGTGAAAGGGAAGATGACAAAGCGAGAGGAGAAGGTATAGTCTTTTTGCCACACGAGAGGAACTCTAAGTCTAATTGATGTGCGAGACACAGGAGGAGGAGACATTGAAGTATGGGGATCGATGCAATCGGCAATCGGAGGGAGAATGTGGCAGAGTAGGTGAGGAAATGGCAGGAGGCAAAGTGATGTTATTCCCAGCCTTAGGATGATTAACAAACTCACTAAGATCAGAAGGAAAAGGGAGATGATCATTCTTAGTGGAGGATTTAGACATAGTTGCAAAAGGGAAAATTGATTCAACAAAATGAACATCACGACCGACAAAAAAATTTTATGACTCTAAATCATAAACCTTGTACCCTTTGTGACCATGATGATAGCTAAGGAAAACACAAGGAATGGCTCTAGGAGCAAATTTGTCCCTATGATGAGCAATGGTAGAAACGAAACATAAACAACCAAAGACTCTCAAATGACCATAATGAGGGGGAGATTGGAAGAGAACTTTAAAGGGTGATTTGTTGTTAAGAACGAGAGGATGGTAATTTGTTAATGAGGTGCACTGGCGATCAACACACATTCTTCGTAAAATTCAATGGGCAATGAGGCTTGGAATCTTAAAGCTCGAGCAATCTCAAAGACATTTCGTGTTTATGTTATTGAATACCATTTTGCTGAGGGGTGTAGACACAACTTCTTTGATGAAGAAAGCCATAGGTGAGAAAGAAAGATTGTAAGGTTTGATTGACAAACTCGGAACCATTATCGGTACGAATGATGTGAATAGAGCTATGGAATTGATTCTGGACCAATTTGTAAAAGGATTACAACAAAGAAGGAACCTCACTTTTGAAAATCATCAAACAAGTCCAAGTATTTCGAGTGAAGTCATCAACAATTGTGAGAAAATATCTAAAACCGTTATGGGTTGCAACTTTATAAGGTCCTCACACATCACAATGAATAAGATGAAAAGTTGTAGAAGATGAAATATCTCTATTATTGAAAGGTAATCTGGATTGTTTGGCCGGAGGACAAATAGAACAATCTATGTGTTTTACATCACATAAATCCGAAATGATTGAGATAAGGTGTTTAAGTTTGCTAAAAGAAACGTGGCCTAACCGATGATGCCATAATATAGATCCGTCTAATGTAGTTGAGATAGAATTTTGAACAATTTGAGGAGAAAAATCTAAAGGAATTAACTCATGTTTTGCGAGAACAAAGCTAAGAAAATACAATCCATTAAGTTGACTACCAATTTCCATAACTATCTTCTCGTAAATGGTCCCGCATATGGCAAGAATTGGATGTGAATATGATGATGTAGGCGGAATCCTTAATGAGTTTGCTAACGGATATGAGATTGTGTTTGAAACTTGGAACAAACAAGACATTATGTAAGGTATGATTAGAACGCAAGGTAATAGTTCCTGTGTGTGTGACATATGCACCGGAACCATCTGGTAAATAGACCAAATGAGGAATATGCAACTGAGTAGGTGATTGTAAAAGAGAGAAACAATGTGTGATATGGTCGGTTGCACCACTATCTATGATCCAATCATAACGTATATGAGACATTGATAGGCAATGACTAGTACTCGCCGGATGATAAATTGGTGTTGGAGTAGATGGATTTTGTTGAGCAAGAAGGTGTAGGATTTGATTTATCCGGTCGGGAGTGAAGTGATGGTTAGATTGAAGATGAGTAGTAGCATTGGTGTCCGAAGGCATTGAAGTTATCCCAACATTAGCACACCTATTATTTGAACCTTTCGAAAATAAGTTGTTGAATGAATTTGTTGATCCTTTCCGGACTGAGTTATTGGAGGAATTTCCATGATTCAACCGATCACTCGTATTCCACATTGTGACTTTGTGTCTTCCGTAAATTTCCTTGAGCAATCACGGTGTTTCTTCTTCCTTTTGATTTGTAGTTACGTGGATAACCATGCAGTTTGAAGCATTTAGCCTTCACATGCCCTTCCATTTGACAATATCCACACCATAAATTCTACTTAAAATTAGCGTTCCACATCCGACTCCTTTGACTCGGCTTGTGTTGTTCCCGATCAAGAGTGCGGATGTTATATCATTCATATGCATAAATTGCAAAACGTCCATTTGTCTTTCTTCCTATTGAATCATAAAGTATGCATCTTCCACACATGATAGAGGCTTCATCAATAAAATATGACCTCTAACCGGTTTAAAACTATCATTTAATCCCATCAAAAATCGCATCAACCGCTACTCATCCTTCGATCTTCCCATGCCTTTGCAACAAGACATTGTACATTGTCTCTCGCATAATGGAATGTGAGTCATGGCCTCCAACTCATCCCATAACTCGCTTGAGTTTGGTGTAATAAGTTTCAATGTTCATGTTATCTTGATTACAGGATGATATTGCCTTACGCAAACCATATATCATAGTACCAATATTATGTGAGAAACGTTTCTTAAGATTTAGCCACATGATAGCTGCAAGTACTACCATGGAGTATGGATTTTCTAATTTCTTAAGAGATAACACTAAGTAACCAAGATATCACCATGTTGTTGACTTGCTCGCATTGTGGAAGATTCGGATCTCCTTCTCTTGGTTTTGGAATATCACCATTGACAAAACCAAGCTTATTTTTGCAAGCAAGTACGATCTCCATGGATCCGTGCCATGGAATATAGTTCGAAGCTCCCGTTAATGGTTGATTCACAAGAACCATACCAGGCACATCTAAACTCATCAATTGCAAAGGATTGGATGCCATCATGGATGTTGCTAAAGAATCACTATTCTCGTTTGCGGGAGCCATATTTGAGATGCAAAACTTAGATCAAATGAATCACAAGTGAATCACTCAATAATGATTGATCTTACGCTCCGATACCATGTTAGAACTCAAAATTAGCCAAACAAGATTCAAGGAGAAGCAAAAAGGAAAACATCTTTTCGAAGTAGAAATGCTCGTTCTCTTTGTTTGCAAAGAAGATTTTTAGAGAAAAGAAAAAGAAATTTCTACATGTGTCTCACATGAAGTCGGTGTGTTATATATCGACATAACAAACTCCTAACGGCTAGTCTAACAAATTCAATTTGAACTAACTCACTAACTAGCCTTCATTTATTACATAATTGCAAAAATGCCAACTGCTATATTCATTTCAACATCGATCTCAATATTTGATAATGCGTGTCTTTGATTTCCTAAGAAAATTATTTTCTTATATTACAAAATATAACTATTTTACTTTTTCTTTTTCTCATTTTATCGAAAAATTTTGGAAATAAAAAATTGATTTACAAATTTTTAAAATTAATATTTACAATATCAACTTATGGTTTAGGAATTAGGTTGAGTTTGGGATTCTAAGAATAAGGTAGATCATTTTGGATCTAGTTCAAGATGTACAAAGATCGTCCGGTTGAGATGGAGTGGATGCTTCAATTAGAAACCTAAAGATATCAAAAACTATCATATAAAGATTGATTGAGTTATTTAGCCCTTAAAAATATTATCATATAAAGTCAAATTTATTTTAAACTCTACAATCAATGAGTTTTTTTTCCCCCTAAATAGGGTACTTTTTAATCTATTTTTTCAAAATAAGGTGTTTTAAATCTTATTTATAAAAAGTAGATAGTTTTGTCATGTAGGCATCCATGTCATCTTTTTTAGTTAACTATTAGAATATATATTTAACATAGTAATTTTAAAAATTAAAAATATAAAAGAAAAAATTAACTTACGCTCTCTCTCGTCTCTTTTTTGTTGTCTTTTCCTTAATTTTTTGAAGTTCAAATGCTTTCACAAGTTCAAAATCATAATTACTAAAAAAGTTCTTTAGCACATGAATATCTTCAATTAAGGTACTTTTCTAAATTCTTTTGTTTCTATTTATTTAATTTTGCTAAAATTTTCTTTTATTTTGAGAAACAAAGAATCCAAGGCATCCATAAGTGCTTAACCGAATATAGGCACCGGCTTGCCAATCCAACCACCCTCCGAATACTATTTGCGTAGGTATATAAATGATCGGCTATCTACTCATATAAAAAGCATAGTTCACGGATAGTATTACTTATGGGTAGACAATGAAAATAATATCCGAGAGATGGGAACCAATTCAAGATGTCAAGCCTATGGGTGATCATTCGGTTTTTCGATTTGGTTTCGATGTTTTTTTTTTTTCAGTTAACCGAATTAGCTAAAACAAAAACCGAAATCGAACCGAATTGAGGTTCGATTTTTCGGTTAAAAAATCAAATTTTTCGATTCGGGCTTTTGGTTTTCGGTTAAAAATCATTTTTTTTCCTAAAAATCGAATTATTTTTCTTTTAAAAAATATCAAACTTGCATAATCAAATATTGCATATTTCACATTTGATTTTATAAGAAAATTATGTATGATTATTATTATTTTTCTATACTAAATTTGTTTCTATTTATCTAATAAACTAAATTAGTTGGGCTTCTCATTATTTTTTCAATCACACTATAATTAGTTTTTTATTAATTTTTCATATTCTTTTTTTAATCTATTTATTTTGTGCATATTTTATTGTTGAATATATAATATGAAAAATTCTAATTTTTAATTTATGTTTGTGCTAATTTTAATACAAGGAGACAATTTTTTTTTTCATGAGGTTTTAGGATTCACCCACACATAAATTTGTATATTTATAAAGAATTTCTTTATCACGAGTCTTTTGTTTAATTTTTTTGTGAGTCAATATAATATAATCAATTATTTTATTATTTCAATAAATAATTAATGGAAAATATTTCTATTTGAAGTAGAAAAAAATCATTAAAGCTATTGTTCTTTTAGTTAAACTCATAGGTGCCTCTTTGATTTTTTTTTTTTAAAAAGAGTTTGAGAATGTGTTTTTTTTTAAAAAAGAACTAATTCGGTTTTCGGTGAAAATCGAATTTGAAAAAAAAAAACCAAACCGAACCGAAATAATTTCGATTTTGGTTTTTTTCAAATCTTTTTTAAAAATCAAATCGAAATTATTAATTTAATTCGATTCAATTTTTTGATTTTAATCAAATAATGCTTACTCCTAATCAAGCCATGACATTTTTCAGAGTTACGACTTGACAATGAAAAATTCAAGGGATCCATAGGTCCTTGGTTTTGTCTCGATTTTTCCAAAATAAATATAATAAGCCCCCAAAGCTTTATTGTAATGTTTTGTCAGTTCCAGAAATTTCTGCCAGAAATCAGGACCTATAGGAAATGTCTTCTCACCGACAAAAATGACTTGATTAAATACTCAGCCGTATCCCAAGGGCGAGCGACAGAGAGATGCAGCGTAGAAGCCACTGCTCCCATTGGAGTCAAAATTGAACTGAGCGTAAACCTAATATGAAGATGGGAAAGGAGTCAAAAATCAATAATCAAAAACTAAAGTCTTCAAAAAATTGAAAAATAAAGAAAGGGAGAGAGAGAAGGATGAGAGAGTTGTTTAGTTTAGAAGGTTCTACACAAAATTTTGTTACTCTTTTTGCAGAGATTGAAAACAATCATTTCTTTGAAAAAACGAAAGAGACAAAGCGATTATAAAGAGAAGATAACTTAATTTTTTAGAAAAAAAAATAAAGCTAGACATGTCATTTTAGAAAAATAAAAATAAAAATAGCATGCCATTGTAGTTAATTGAAATGGATCTTATTTGACATATAGTATCTTTATTATGAGAAATAAATTTAAAACTACCTTATTATAAGAAATAAGATTTAAAATACCTTATTATGAAAAAATAATTAAAAAAAACTCTACAATCAATATTGATTTTCATTCCTTTTCGTTTTAACACAATCTAATAATAAAAAAAGTACAATAAATACAGTTAGATAGCGCAAAATGGTTTCAAAAGGGCACTAATTAGTTTTTACCTTTGATCTTTAAAGGTATAGATTAAGCATATAAGGACTGAGATCCTGTCATCTTACTAAAGGAACATGTCAATCATATTCATTAAATCTAAATCATTGAATTTAAATTGGATGGTAATGGCTTAGTGCATGATACAAATTACAACAATTTAACTCCTCATTTTTAATGTCTCACCTAATTCAAATTATTGAATTCAAAACTAACAGTAAGATTTAGAACATGATTGTTCATGTTTCTTGAAAACATGAGAGGACTCAAATCTAACAAGTGGATTAATGTACCATGTACTCTAGGAATACTTGGGGATCTCAATCCATATATTGTGCAATATATACAAGAAAAATGAAAACAGCTTAACTTCTTATTTTATTTCTCTCACCTAATCCAAATCATTTAATGCAAAACTAATGGTAAGATTTAGAATAAGATTGTTCATCTTCTTATAACAACATGAGAGGATCTAAATCCAACAAATGCGTATAATGAACCATGTTCTTTTGGAATACATGAGGAATTCAATCCATATCTTCTTTAGTTTATACACGAAAAACAATGATGAATTCAAATTGGATGGTCATGATTTGATGGATGATAAAAATGATAACTTATTATTTTATTTCTCTCACCGAATCCAAATCATTGAATTCAAAACTAATGGTGAGATTTGGAACATGAGTGTTCATGTTCCTATAAAAATATGAGATGATCTAAATCCAATAAATAAATATCACACACAAAGTTTTTTTTTTTTTTTAAGAATATGTACTCAATCCATATCTTTTATGTACATGTATGTCTATATTTATATTTAAATATAAATTTTTATATAAACTAGAAATTTTAATTTATATCTTCAATTTTATATCATTCTTTTCACAAATTAACAAACTATTGGTGAGTCCACCTGTTCAATTTTCTTTTATTTTGGTGATTAATTTACATGGTAAGTCACCCCAGACAATCATGAACTAGCTAGCATTTTCCGCATTAAAACATGTTATTGTATTCAAGCATTTATATTTCATACATTGACTTTGATAAAGATTGATGGTAATAACGAAAGCCATGTACATGTACATGTTGAAGATGAAATTGGAAGGACAATCTTTTTTTATTCTTTGACTCGCACCATCATCATAAACTCATTCTAAATCTTAAATTAATTGATTTGATCTGATGGTAAGTAGTTCTTGGTGCATGTCTCCGAGCAGTTATTCACACTGCTTTCCACTTGCTTTTCCCCTGTAAATTAAAAATAACAACCGAATTAATACGTTATGGTTCATGAAATTAATATTAAATATAAAAAATTTTGAAATAAAAAAAAATACAACAACCAAAAACTATAAAGATTTATACCGAAGTTTCTTTTGGTGCTTATCAAGTTGGAGAAGGAGGAGTAAGCACAACCAAGATTGCAAAAGTATTGTGAATCTTTATTGTCGCTGTTAACATCAAAGGTTGGAAAAATACATTTTTTGACACAAATCAACGCACAAATATCTACAGGATACTCGCCATTGGAACTACAAATACTAAAACAATCTTTCATGCATTTCCCGAAACTTGCAGTGGTTGGTCGGACAAGTAAACCTATCACCAGAAAACTCATCAAGATCATGCTAAACTTTTTGCCCTCCATTTTTCTTTGTAGTATTTGAATCTGACAAGTTAGAATGGCAATAGATATTTTAGATCCCAACTACGATTTATAATAAGGACCTCAAAATGTTCATGAACAGATACTACTTTTTTGGGTAGCTACATGCCTACATATAAAGAAAGGGAAATTAAATTGGAAGGATATTTTTACATTAACTTAATTTCCATTTGAATCAATTTGGAAAATAGTCAACTTATAAACCCACATGTTTTCCCTATCACAAAAAGAAAAGGAAACTCCGTATATTTTCACAATAAGTGTCATCTATATGCATTTAATGTAATTATTGTTGTATGATTCTTTGATTCAGTAAAAAGGCAAGACTTATTTTAGATTCAGCATTGTATATAAAAGAAAGGTTGTTCTCGGAAAATCATTTGAAAATCAAATATTTCAATTAAAATAAATGATTTTGATGGTAAACATTAAATAAGTGTTATTTTATGTGAAAATAATTTTAAATATTAGTGATAAATTCTATAACAAAAGGGTAAAAAAAAAAAAAAGACGGATTAGGAGCATCAAAAGGTCTCTTAACAAATGCCTTAGGCCACCAATCCCAAAAAACTAAATTGAGGAAAGTATTTATAATTTTTTAATTAAGAGATAAATATTCATATTTACTTGTTTTCTATTCTTAAGGGCACCTTCTATTTTTATGCGAACCTAAATGAACAAACAAATCTACATGATCTAAATTTTCTTATTTGGTTGAAAAGTTTAGATAATGTTACCTTATCTTATCCTATGTTTTCTTATTTTGTGTAAGCTTGATAATGGGTTGAATATTTATGTTTTATTTTGGGTCTTTAATTTGTTTATTTTAACTTTGACTAATTCAACCTAAATGGCATACGATAAGTAAATAGCCAAATATGCAAGATAGACATTCTGTCGTGTAGTCCCCATTAGCCAAATATGACTCCATTGGGATGACCTCCCCGGGGTAGGCTGCCTTTGGTGTCACTACTCGACGTCGAATGGGGACTCTCAAAAAATAAATTAAGAGTTTATTTACGGGATTATTTATAAGTTCGAAGTTGCTATCTAGTATTAAGGAACTAGGAATCTCAAAATAGCACTCGGTTCGGAGATTTTCGATTAAGGAGTTAGTTAAGCTTTGAGAATATATCAATCACCCAACTACGTCCTTTCTTAAGAAAGATACCATGTTTAGTTTAATCCAAAATTTATCTCCTAAAAGGTTTTATATAAACCAAATCATTTTTCAATTTTAAACTCCGAGTTTTTAAAGCTAAATTGATTTTTTTAGTTTTTAACATGGCATCGTATTGAAATGATCGTTGGTTCCCTTAGTTAGACGACATGTCGGTTAAACATCTAATTCATTTTAAGCCTCGACATAGTCGGTGTGTCGAAGAATATTCCGATTATGATGATTTTGGTAACGACGAGTCCTTATTAGATAAGAGATTTTGTCAAAAAAAATTTTAAAAAAATTATTTATTATTTTTTTTGTTTAAACGACATTCCTAATTAGATAGCGAGAATTCGTTGAGAATTTTTATTGTTATTATTTTTTATTTTTTTTCAAACGAAATTCCCTATCAAATAGGAGACTTCGTTGAGAATTTTTATTATTTTATATTTTTTGATCAAACAACAATTCTATCGGATACAAGACTTTATTGAGAATTTTTATTTTTATTATTTTTATCGAACGACAAGTCCCTATTAGATAGAAAACTTCATCAAGATTTTTTATTTTATTTTATTTTTTTGACAAACAATAGTCCTTATTAGATAGAAGACTTAGTTGAAGTTTATTTATTTATTTTTATTTTAAAAAACTAAATGTAAATTAATAAATTCAAAAAATTAAAATTAAAATATCAACTCTAAATTAGTAAAAAAAAAAAAATCAAGGAGAAATAAAAATAATTAGGCTATATAAACAAATAAATAAAATCAAAATGTTAAAAGAAAACATTTTAGACTCTAAACCCATTAACTCATTCCTTATTTCTCTCCTACCCATTCTTTTTTTTGTTTTTTTTTTGTTTTAGTTCGATTCATTTTTTTTTCTCTTTAGTGGACTAACTCCGGTTTTTATTTTTATTTTTGTTTTTGGGGGGGGGGGGGGGGTGGAGGGCTAGACTGAGTCCGACCCAGCCTCTTTCCTCCTCATTTCTTATTGCCAGGCTAGGGCTTGGTTGAAGCCTATCCGGCCAAAAAACTCATGGGCTAGACCTCAAGCCCGAAAACAACTTCCCCTTCTTTCATTTTTCATTTAAAAGATTAAAAAAAAAAGATTTTCAAGCTTTTGTTCTTTTTTGTCTCTCTTGTTCGTCACATTCTTAACTTTCTCTCTCTATTTTTCTAGTTTTTAGAACCAAAATACTAAAAATATCATTTGTCGAGCCATTTTCCATTATCTCATATCTTGGCATAGACTGAAATCTAAAGCTTAAGCAACAAAAGAACTTAAATGGCTAAAATAAAAGAAATTGAAATGGGAGAAATGAAAAGGAAAACAAAACTGGCCTGGAGTTGTTGAAAATAATGGTTATTGGTTTGCTGGCTAGATTGAAAACAAAAAGTTTCTGGGATGATTTCCAAACGATCGAGAGATTGTTAGTTGGTGTGGGACGCTTGAATCAAGTCCAGAGTTCAAGAATTTGTGTCCAACAGGAGCTGCAGATGAATTAAAACCTAGAAAATCTCAAAATACCAAACCTACCCAGAAAATTTTGATAATTTTTTGAAAGTCCTTTGAATATTACGTAGCGACATACTTTTACTTTGATAAAGATTGAGAGCAATAACGAAAGTCATGTACATGTTGAAGACAAAATTGGAAGGACAATTTTTTTTTCTTTGACTTGCACCGTGAACATAAGCACATTCTAAATATTTAATGAATTAACTTGAATTGACGGTTAGTAATTCTTGGTACTTGTCTTTGAGTAATTATTGACACAGCTTTCCACTTTCGTTTCCCTTAGAAATTACAAATAACAACTAACTACGACAGTTTTCTTGAAATTAACTAAATAAACTAAAACAAAACGGTAGATTACTGCTTCAAACGTTGTTCATACGTTAACATATTATTATTCATTGGTTTTTTTTTTTACACTTTTGATTTTTGATCTTTACCAACACATCTTGCGGTCTATATTTTCATTTTCTCATCCATTTTGGATCCCTAGATAAGAGAGAAGAAAGGTGGGAAGAGAGAGACAGGAGGAGAGAGAAAGAGAACGCCGACCAAGCTTATTTAGGCCACTTTAGTCGGCGAAAATCCATTAGATTTTTTTATCTTCGAGAGATGAGTTTGTCCATGGTTATTTCAAGCCATAAAACAATTAGAGGAGGTAGATCGGAGCCAAAAAAGGAAATAATGTTCCGATTTGATAGTGTAATTTTATTTTTATTTTTATGTGCATTAAAATGATTTTCAAGGTTTTAGATATGTTTATTGGCTTTATTCTGGTCATTTAGAGATGTTTGAGGAAAAAAATGATGCTTGGAATTCAATTTCTACGGATCCGAAACTTGATCCTCGACTTTTCGATAAAGATTTCGGCGACCTCCATTCGCTTGAAGTTGCGACTGCTTTTTTTTTTTTTTTCATAAAAAATAGTAGCCTGGGTTGATGCGAGGCCTCGACTGCTCGACCAGCTCGGCTCGACGCATTGGCTTGGCTGTTTTTTTTTTTTCCTTCCATTTCGGCTTTGGAAACTGACTTTTTATTTTGGTCCCTTCTTTTTTTCTTTTTGGTCATTAAACTTTTCTGATTTTTTATTTTTATCCCTATCGAATAAAATATTATAGAATTTTATAATCAAAAGTTTTTTAACTTTTAGTAAAAATTTATATTCTTTTTTTATTTTTATTTTTTAATATGTTTTTATTTTAGTTATTAAAATTTTCTCATATTTAATTCTTATCCTTACTCGTACTAAAACTAAATAAAGTTTGCTATCCTAAGGTTGGGTTTTTTTTTTTTTTTACTGAAATTTTCTTTCTATTATAATTTAAGTTTTGTTATTTTTTCTTTCTTTTTTCATCATTAAATTTAGTAGAATTTTTTTTTAGTCTTTGTTTTTGTATTTTTTTTTATTTTGATCATTAAATCTTTTTCATACAAGGAACTATTTTTTACTTTTAGTAAAAAAATTTATTATATTTTAGTTTTTGTTTTATGATCTTTCATTTATTTTGATCATTAAACTTTTATTATATTTTATTATTATTTATTTTACATTAAAATTAAATACATTTTAACTATGCTAAGTTTTTTTTTAGTGAAAAAAATTTATGTTTTGATTCTTATTTTATTATTTTTTTATTTTAGTCATTAAAATTCTATAATATTTACTTTTGTTCTTGCCTTATGCATAATGAAATTTTTTTAGTCTTATTATTTATAAGTATTTTTTGTATGCTTTTAGTGAAAATTTTTTTATTTATTTTTATCCTTTTTATAATCTTTATTTTATTTTAATCATTTAATTTTTATCGTATGAAATTTTATCTCTATTTTCTTTGCCAAATTCTCGATTTGACGGACCTTTTTTGTCTTTTTCTTTTAAGTGGTCTTTCTCGTCTCATTAACAAATTACATATGAATAATATATGGTAAAAATTAATCATCAAAATTTGAAAAAACTACCACATTATTAATTTAATTATCGGCTATTAATAAAATACATATTTATATCAAACAATATTGAATTAGCAACATTATATTACTCAATTTTGTAGACTTTTAATTTAGCTAACCCTATAGCAAATTATGAAATGTATGTTTTATTTTTTTTAAATTATTTTTGCATGATATTATCAAATAATGATTTGTAAATGTTTAATTTTATATTAATGAATGCATAAAAATGTTATATAACTCACTCCGCGGCAACACGCAGGATATATGCTAGTTAATACTAAATAATAAAACGTAGTGAAAGAAAGGAAAAAGACAACAAACCAAATAAAAATTTATACCAAAGTTT